TTCCTTCAGTCCTTCAGTGTGGGTAGATGAAAAAGAGCATCTGATGCCTATAGGAAACACCACCTTTCCTAGTATTGCAGTTCCTGCTTTTTGAGAGAGGGGGAAGAACCCCCTCCCACCCACTTCTACTCTGCTTTAATTCTGATGAGGAAGATCACAAAGCAGCCTCTCTGACAGAAGCTGAGCTCCGACTACTCTGACAGCCAAAGAGCTTAAGGAGGCCCAGCCTCCCAGGCCCAACACCGGTCTGACTGGGCGTGGAACACTACAAGGCTCCGCCTTCTGAACCTCTTCGCACTGGGCCTGGAGTACCTCCAGATGTGCATCCAAAGTTGCGCCCCTCTTCCTTTGAGCTTGGAGCACCTAGAGTCCAACCAGCGACCCGCTTTTACAGGCCATGGATCATCGCAAGGCCGCAACACCGGAGTCCTGCCTTGTCCGCTGTGACTGGAGTACTTAGAGGTCCTGCATGCCAAGCCCCGCTGTGCCATCCACTCTGACAGGCGATGGAATACATCAAGAACCATCCTCAAACTTCGCCTAATCCCTTCTCAGACTTGCCCGCCACGAGGCCCCGCCTCCATCGCTCCGCCCCTCTCTCGGCTCCCAAAGCCTTTGCAGCACCTCGAGGCCCCGCCTCCCGAGCTCCGCCCCTCCCTCGGCTCCCACAGGCTTTGCTGCACCTCGAGGCCCCGCCTCCTGAGCTCTGACAGAGCACGTGGAGCTTCGCACCCTGGCCCCGCCCCTTATCCAGCAACCACTGCTCGCTGGCCACCCCGGGACCCCTCAGGCTCCCCAGATCGGCTTCAGCGGTCGCCATGACAGCGGCCGTGTTCTTAGGTTGCGCCTTTGCCACCTTCGGGCCTGTGCTCGCTCTCTACGTTTTCACTATCGCCACCGACCCTAGCGCGTCATCGCCAGGTGAGACGGCCCCAAGTCCTTGACACAGCGGCCAGGGCTCCCATGGCCTCGGGAATCACCACAGTGTCTCCAGCCTGGGGGACAGAGAGAGCTGAAAGGGGGGCTCCTCCCCTCCTGAGAGAGTCTGAGGGGAAGGGCAGGCTGAGCAGGCGCGCCCTACGGATCTAGGCATCTGGGGGCTAAGTGTGGGAACACTGAGACAGAAACGTTCATGTGTGGAGCCTTCATCTTTCCTTAGGAGTCTCATTTCACCAGGTGCTCTGCATCGAAGAATGGTTCTCACCCTGTCATTAAAGTCACCTGGGGATCAGTGACCCACTTCTCCGCAACCCCCATCCTGGGACTCAGAGTGTCTGTGAGGGGTTTGGGCTCAGATTTTTTCTTGTAGACCCCCCCCCCGGTAATGATTGGGGTGCCTCCGAGGTGGAAGCCTGAGAAAATGCAGCAACACCTGACCAGGCGTGTCCTCCTGAGAGCTTGGTAATACCGAAGTCTACTGGTGGTCCTGGTCTCTTTGCACCTGCCAGAAGTTTGCAGCTTCTGAATTTTTACACCGTGTACACTGCTAATACAGGTTTAGGGGTGCGTTTTCTGTCAGAAAAAAAGACACTTATTTTTACAATTATCTAGCCATTAAATACATACTTTCTGGAGAATTTTGTTATGAAAATTGCAATAGTCACTGGTTGTATGTTTCTATGGCACACCGAAGAGGAAAAGCATCTCTTAGGGAAAATAGTCAACAACCAAGTTCCTCTTAGCCAGTCCTTGGCAGGTAGTATCTTAGGGTGCACTTGACAGGGTCACTGAACACGTTCTTGATGAGTGAATGTGACATTTCTCTTGGACTGTTTTTCTCACTAGGAGAAAAATGGAACATTGATCAGCACCTGCTGATCCAGAACACCACTTCCAGGATCTTCCCCCCCCCCAATTAAAAAATCAGGATCTTTGTTTCCTCTCCAGCAGATTTGAAGTCATTATTAATCTCATGCTCTGTTAACTTGTGGCTTTTTTTCTCCTACATTCCAGGGCTTTCTTCTGGCTGGTATCTCTCCTGCTTTCATCTGTTTTTTGGTACCTAGTGAGAGTCATTACTGACAACAGAGAAGGACCTGTACAGAAGTACTTGCTCATCTTTGGAGTGTTGCTGTCTGTGTGTATCCAAGAACTGTTCAGGCTTGCATATTATAGACTGTTAAAGTAAGTTAAATGTTTGTTTTATTTTCCCAGTTACACTTGAGTTATGATTTGTTGATTGGTGCATTTCTAGCCCGAAAATATAGAATATTTAAACCTATGGCCTGGCTTGCCGGCCTGGCTTGCCTGCCTGCCCTCATTCCCTCCCATTTTCTTTCCCTCTTTCTTCTCCTTTCTCCCAAAAATGTTCCTCAAGAATTAGCCAATGCCTGATGCCCAATGCATCTGGTATAAAGGGAAAGCAGTTCTGGCTGGGCAGTGGTGGTGCACCCGGGAGGCAAAGCCAGGTAGCTCTTTGTGAATTCGAGGCCAGCCTGGTCTACAGAGTGAGTTCCAGGACAGGCTCCAAAGCTACACAGAGAAACCCTGTCTCGAAAAAGAAAAAAAAAAAAAGAAAGAAAGAAAGAAAAGAAAAGAAAGAAAAAGTGAATTCTGGCTGACTGAAACTTATAATGGGAAGAAACTGACAAGTAATGAGTGAACGAAAACCCCATTATTGAAGAAAAATAACTCAGAGAAATAATTACTGAAACAGTAAAAGAGCCTTCCCATTGGGACTTCATGTTTCACTCCTAACATGTTAAGTTGTTCTTATGGAGATTATGCCTTCCATTGTTTTGACTATTAGTGGTAAACAGAGTCTCATTTTAAAAACATTTTCTATAGTTTCAAATCTACAAAAGGAAAAATGCATTTAAGAGCAAGGCCTGAGGCATGAGCTCCCTTTTTGGGGCTAAGATGTAAGTGAATACATTTAAATTGATCTCTCATGTTGTACTTCATTCAATACTAGAGATTTTGGTGTACTCAGATTTGGCTTAAATGTCTATACTGCCACAAATAGGTTTGGGCCTTTTACTTTAAGGGACCAACTCAACCAAAGTTTTGCTGCCTGGATTTGCTGCCATGATTAAAATGTGAAGCATTTGTCCCTCTTTTTTATAACTCATTGCAGTCAAATAAGTTTATTTCATGAGTTAGGACTCAGGAGCAGTTACTACATTCTTAATGAATGAATGAGTGAGATGACTGTGACTGTCAAACAGGACAAAGCCTTGTATAATGAGAAGTTGACACGTGGCTGCAATGGTAGCCACTTCTGCACATTTTTTTAACATTGATTTTATTTTATGTGTATGAATGTTGGTCTGCATGTGCCTGTGCCCTGGGTGCATGTGTGGTGTCCAAGAAGGCCAGACAAGGACAATAGGTCCCCTGGACCTGAAGATATAAACAGTTGTGAGTCACCATATGGTCCTAGGAATAGAGCCTGAGTTCCCTGGAAGAGCAGCCAATGCTTTCATTGCTGAGCTGTCTCTCTAGCACTTTCCACACACACTTTAAAATTTCAAAAAACATCTTCAGTAACTACTGTGTTGTTTAAAACTGTTGTATGGTGCCTGAAATATATGGAAGTTACATTTGGAGTACAAGTGTTGCAACCTAATTCAGGACTTTTTTTTATAATAAAATAAACTTTATAAACACAATAAACGTGATTTTAGAAAAATCTTATATTTACAGAAAAGTAAAAGGCTAAGATAACCACTGCCACAGTTCTGTTTTGTTTTTTGTTCCTGTCTGTGTCCCATCCAGTGTATCCCCCCACATCCTCCACCAAAGGTCTTGGCACAAGCTAGGCAAAAGCACTATCACTGACCTAAATTCTCAACCCTGTTTGTTTTCTTTGCTTTTCTTTTTTAGAAGTGTCTCTCTGTTTTTTTTTTAATTTCCTAAAATGGTGGATTAAGGGGGCTAGAGATGTAGCCCTTGATCCAATCCCTAATCCCCTATAGCTCATAAACTATGCATGGTGGTACACATCTGTAATCTTAGTTACATGGTGATTTTTGAGGTCAGCCTAGTTATACAGACCATCTCAAAACAACCAAAAGAACAAACAAGCAAAAAGAAAAACCCCAGTAGTAGAACATATGCTTGGCATGGGCAAGGCACAGGCTCAGTTCATGAACCAAAGTGAAAAATTGCTGCTAGAAGGGTGAGAATAGTTTTGGCTTTTCAGTGTGCAAGAGAGAAGGGGTAATAAGAATAAGTACAACCATAGTGAAAATTACAACAGAATGCCAATAAGTTAAAGATAAAGGCCTAAGACTTTGGAGAAAAGAAAATTCTGAGTGATAGATCCCTCAGGATAAAGAAATAAATATTCACTGAGCTCAGAAATTAGAGGATAACTTTTATTTTGATTGAACTCAGTCCCTAATGGCTTGTTACTGATATATTAATTTTTTTCCTTTTATGAAAACATCAGCTAGGTGGAGTTGCTGGGAATCTCACTTGACTTTAGTTATTGAAAATGAGCTGGAGATACAGCTCAGCAGTTAAGAGCACTGGTTGCTCTTCCAGTGGACCTGGGTTCAATTCCCAGCACCCACATGGCAACTCAGTAACTCCAGTTCAAGAGGATTCACGCTCTCACATAGATATATATGCAGGCAAAACACCAGAAAATGTTCTGGAACTAGATTTGGTCCCATAGGCCTTTGATCCCAGCCTTCAAGAGGCAGAAGCAGAGGGACCTCTGTGAGTTCAAGACCATTCTAATCTATATAGTGAGTTCCACGACATGCAGGCTATGGAGAGAGAGAGAGAGAGAGAGAGAGAGAGAGAGAGAGAGAGAGAGAGAGAGAGAGCCTGTTACAAGTAAAGCAAAGTAAGGCAACAAAACATATAGCAACAAAAAAGAGAGTGCTGGGTTTCACTTAAGTGGATTCTGGATTGTAACCTGGAGTGTAACCTGATCAGAAGCCTCACTAAATATCTAGTTTTGAAGAGTCCTGTGACCTGCCTGATATATGACTTTTTATTTAAAAATTAAAAAAAAAAAATGTTTTTCTTTTAGAAGAACCAGATGGGGTTTGAAAAGCATAAACCCTGAGGAGACAGCACCCTCAATGCGACTGTTGGCCTATGGTAAGTTTGACCCTGTGGGGTCATGAAGAAAAATAACAGAAATGCTAGAGATGGGGCTCAGCAGTTAACAGCACCCAGTGCTCTTGCAGAGGATCCGAATTCAGTTCCCAGCTCCCAGATGATGGCTCACAACCACCGGTAACTCTAGTTCTAGGGGATCCAACACCTGCACAGCCTGCACATGGTACACATAAACTCAAGCAGGCATACACACACACACACACACACACACACACACACACAATGTCTCCGTGTAGAATTATCTCAGTCTGGCCCAGAGATCCCACCTTGCAATCACAGTTACTCCCTCACAGTTTGGCTACAATAAACCAAAGCCAGGGCCTTCAGCACATTACCCTCTTCTTCCTCTCTAGTTTCTTCTGTGCCTCTCCTTTGTTCATTGACCTACTGCCTCCTGTACTTCCTTTCCTCCTCTCCTTTCTCACTTAGCCTTCCAGAGCTGGCTGTCTGATGCTTCAGCAACAGCAGGTGTAGCCTTTTCCCTGCAGTGAAATAGTATTCCCCAGTCCTTGCAAATGAGATTTGAACTGAACTCATAACAGGAAAAGGGCTTAATGGTGTTTCTTCCTCTTTAGTTTCTGGCTTGGGCTTTGGAATCATGAGCGGAGTGTTTTCCTTTGTGAACACCCTGTCTGACTCCTTGGGGCCAGGCACGGTGGGCATTCATGGAGATTCTCCACAGTTCTTCCTTAATTCAGGTATGTGCCATAGCTGTGGGTGTTCAGGGTCCTGCTCTAAAGGATCATCCTTATTGCCATCCACTGGCTTCAGAATTCAAGTGAATTCTTTTAAGGGGAAAATATTCCTAGGTTCTGTAAGTGAAGGACCTGGGATTGGGGGCATGGATTTGATTGGAGTGCCTTAGAATATTACAGGATTTTATCTTGCAAAAGATTTATATATTTACCAGGCAGGTGCCACACACCATTAACCACAACATTCAGGAGGCAGAATCAGACAAAAAGAACTCTGTGAGTTTGAGGTTGGCCTAGTCAACAGAGGGAGTTCCATGACAGCCTCCAAAGCTACATAGAGAAACCCCTATTTCAAAAAAAACAAAACAAAACAAAACAAAAAACAAACAAAAAACCCAAACCAAGCCAAAACAAAACCAACAAACCAAAAGTAAAACCCAAACAAAGATATAGATATAGATATAGATATAGATATAGATATAGATACAGATATCACCAAATACAGTAGATTTTGTGTGACAATTTCCACAGACTGAGACAATAACTTCAAAAGAAGGAGGTCTCCTGGAAACGGTTGTGGAACTCTCGGCTGGAGAAAAATTTGAACTGTAGTTCTCATGGCAATTTCTATTCTTCTTTTTTTCATATTAACAAAATGTTCCTGAAAGCTTATGCTGACATTTTAAATAAAATACACAAATAAGAAACCATCCCCTGAGACAGGGGTCAATAGCCATGACCTGGTCTCTGGTAAAACCAGCGCTTTTCAAATAATTCACATCATTCACATAAGTAAATAGTATTATGATAAAAACTTTCCCAACAATAAAATTTCATATGGCTGTACATTTGTCATCAAGAATGGGCTTAAATGTTTGGTAAAGAAAGCTTTTCAATAAGAAAGAGTCAAAATAGCTCAATATTTCAAAAAGACTCACAAGGACTAGGTAATAGATGTTAATAACAAAAATTTATTAACCATATTCAGTCAGTCTTGATTGATTTTTGTGCTTTGGTTAGCCTTGAATGATTTTATGATTTATTGTTTTGGTTAGGTTAGCCTTGGATGATTCTGTGTTTCACTGAGCCTAGTAACAATGATGTCATTTGTTCTATCTTGGTCTGCTTCACTGAGCACAAATTCTGAAAAGATATTTGTTTTATCCCAAATAAAAAGCCTTGCTTTAGAGCTGCAAAATACACTCAGATTCAAACTGCCTCTGTGGTTTTTTTTTTCTGTTTATCAACTCTGAATCCTTACCCACCTAGTCTTTGAGGACCCTCATCCCAGGGACCCCCATACCTGGCTGGAGTGGTCCATGTCGCAAATATATATATTTGAAATATTAGCAGATAATTTTCATGAGATAATTCTCTTTGTTTTGTTATTTATCTTCAATATAAACCTGTAAACCCCTATTTTTTTTCTTGCCCAGTGCTATGGGTTCAACACAAGACCCCTAGTCCTAAATTCTAATCTTTGATTAATCTCTAACCCTGTGCCTTTTACAGATAGGCAGCATGATTTGATCTTTAAATTCAGAGAGAAAAATAGTAGATGAATTAATCTTTTTATGCAAAGATGCAGTTAAAAAGGACCAACTCTTTTCACATTGCTTTCATTCACCAACTACAACATATGACACAATGATCACAAGTTTGCTTCATAATTAGAATATTATTTTACTAAATTTCACTTTGTTTAAAAATAGAGGAAAATGTATTTGTAGTTGTCTAGACCAACAGTTATATCATTGAAATATGTGAACTCACATACCCATTTTTTTCCCCAATTAAATCAACATTCACATACAGGCCAAAACTCATTAGAAAACTTGCCAGTTTTTTTGGAAATAACCAAACATTAAATAGTTTTTCAGTAGCTTTTAATAGAATAAAAAACTTATAAAGAGAAATGGCCCATTTTTAAAAGTTGTAGTAAGTAGTTTAGAGACATCATGGCAATCCCTGAACCCAGAGACGGTCCTCCATCAGTCTCGGTTTCCTTGTTAGTTTAAAACTCCTGTGGACATCAATGCAGTCAGTATCTCAAGTGAATCCATCCTCTGTGAAGCCAGCAAGCTAGTCTTCCCTGTTTGAAAAGTCTGTGATTTCTGAGGGGCCTTATAGAATCCAGTTCAGACCTTTTGATGGTGACCATGAGTTAAGGGAAAGTGTGTTTGTTAATGGATCATGCTTATAATATTGGCTCCAACACAGCAGATTGCCTTTTGAATATTTCCAAACTGGAATATTTCCAGCATAAAATTTAAATGTTAATAATTCACACACACACACACACACACACACACACACACACACACACACACACACACACATAGTTTTAATGGCTAATGTCTGTCAGTGTCCAATAGAAAGTAACATGACACCTTCTGTATTTTGAATTTTCTTAGTTTACATTGTTAAAGGAACTGTCATCTTTCCATCCTCATGTATTTCTGACTTTTGTCCTCTAGATGGGGCTAAATCCATTCAGTAAACCAGGCTGTTTTCATGGGCAGCTTAAAATGAGTCTCTTGGAAGAGTAGATTTGTATCTAAAATGGTAATTAGAATAAATAAGAAATATGAGGTCGTTAATTAGTGTCTCTATCTCTGTCACTGTGTGTCAATACTACACACATTGTATGATTCCTGTATGTACATGAATTTTTATGTTACAAACAGGCATAGTTTAAGTGCACATGAAAAGTAGTTCTTTGTTACCTGTGGTTGTGGAGCAGGCCAGCAGTAAGGTAGACTCATTGCCATTCCTTTGAAATGATTTGTAGAGAAGGAAGTGTGGGATTGAGGTTCCAAGTTCAAATCATATCATTGATTTAGTATTTGGGGCCAAGTCCTTTTGATTGTAAGTATACAGTCTATAAATAATTATTAAAGATTTCTCCATACCTTCTGCCCATGATAACTAATAAAAACAAACAAACACGTAACTGCGTAAAGCATTGTATAAATATTACAGAGAGGAAGAGAAGTATAGGGGCACCTGTAGACACTGCAGTTCTTTGCCTATGTACCCTAGCTGTGATTAAGTGAAGATATGATTATTTGATGTCTGTCTCTCCAGTTGTGTGCTAAATAATGTGTGTGCAAGGAGTATGGCTGTTTTTTTTTTTATGGCCATATCCCATCCATAGAGCCTCCTGGAGCCCATTGTTACTAGCTAAAGTTTGACAAATATTGATTTAAAAAATAGAATTAGTCACTGCTTAAGAAATTAGAGAGATTTACTTAAAGATAAATGATAACTATGCCAGCAAAGGAAGGGACTGTAGGGAGGGATGTTCCAAATACAAACAAGAGACCTCTCTTCTTTATAGATCTCAATTTCCAGATCTTTCCAGGGCAGAAATAGTGAGCAAAAGCTACGCATGGTGGTGTACACTTGTAATCCTGGCAGTTAAGAGGGAGAGGCAAGTGGATCTCTGTGAATTCAAGGCCAGAATGATCTAAATTAAAAAAAATGCAAGAGAAGGAGGAGAATTCCCAGATTAGAATCAATAAGAATTAAGTAAAATTAGCCAGGTTACAGGGCTAATTCCAGGATAGCAAAGGCTGTGAAATCCTGTCTCAAAAACAAACAAACAATTAAGTAAAACCAAATCCAGTATTATAAAATATAACAAGAGCTCTTAACCATGGAGCCATCTCTATAGCTCCATGTTTTTCTGTCCTTGAGAAGAATAGAATAAAGAAAAAATTAATGTTGGAGTATCTGAAGGACTTTCAGGATTTTATGTATAGGAATAGGAACTGAGAAGGGTTTAGCAATAAAAATGGGAGACCCTACAGATGCTGTTAGCACATCTTCATTTCTAGTTGGAATTACTCCATTTGTTAATAAGTGCCAAATTGCATGCATGTAATATAACTATTTGTATGCACTAGGATAGTTTGTTTGTTTGTTTACCAGCTGTAGAGGAAATTAACATTCCATAATCTTTTGCCATAGTAAAGTTTAGCTCATGGCCAGTATCTCAAAGTCCTAAAAGAGTAGGATTGGCCAGCTGTCTACTGTACACCAAGAGATGAGCAATGTGAAAAGTTTGAGAAAGAGATCAATGTGGTGCAATGGGGAGAAGATCAGTTGTGGAGATCCAATGACCCCAAAGTCTGTCTTGATCACACTGACAAGAGTTTTAGGTTTGAAGAGAAAAACTGAGGTGTGGAGGCAAAGGGTGTGCACAGTTAAACCATCAGTGTGTAGTCCTGATTGGTCAGTGTCTCAGTTCTGATCCTGCAAGGTAGGCTAAAAAAAAAAAAAAGGTCCTATAGTTTGAGGAGGCAAGCAGGTTCTTGTGAGATGATTGCAGAATTATGCTATCTCAGAAGGGAATTGTGGGCTTTATGGCACACCAGGACTTGACAGTGGTTGAGACCCCATGCTTCCCCTTAAGCTGTCTGTTAGAGGCATGTTCTTTGATACTAGGATAGGCATAATTGTTGGTTTTAGATTGAAGTTATGTCTGTTGTTATGGTAATGGAGCCTAAACTGGTCAAATCTTATGAACAAATACTTATATCCTAGGATCCTAAACTTGTTTATCATTAGCAGACCTGGTTAGCAAACTACTTATCTTTGGGGTATTTGGGAGGCAGTGCTTTCTAAGTTAAATTCTACTTTGTATGACAATATGGTGATATTTTGCACCATCTGTTGTAACCCGTCTTTGTGTGGGACTTTAGTTAGATCTAGCCAAATTACCAGGTTCATACTGAGGTGGGAAGGGGAAGTATGGATTGAGAAATGGCAGGTAAAGTTGCTAAGAAAATGAGACACAGGATAGAATCTGGGGGGCAAACCAGTGACTATTGAACACCCCAAGTTTATTCCTCAACATTTGTAAATACCCCAACCAAAAAGGAGGACATGGAAAAGACTTCTTCAAGATACAAGGAAAAAACAGACCTTCTCCCTTAATTCTCCAAACATTTGGTAACCACACCTTAAACTAAATTTCTTGTTTTCTGGCCTTGGGGGTTAAGAGTAACCACACCTCAGGCCAAGTCTGTTGTTATTTAGATAAGACATCCAAGACCAAGATCAAATATCCTGATGTAGCCATGCCTTAGACCTTTAGGTCTTATGACTTTAACCTTGGAAGAGTAAGGTTAGTTTTGAACTCTCTGACCTTAAGCCAAGATGAAGGGGAGCCATCTCTGTGGGCCCCCAGAAATGAATAAAGCTTGCCTGAAGATCAAAGTGCAAAGCTACCGCACCTGCATGGCTGGGGACCGAGAATCTGTGGAGGGTGTTGGGATTGACAACAAAGGAATCTTGCTTGATGTTAAGAAGGCTCTCTTTTTATTTTGCTCCGGGGACTGGCTTTTATACCCAGCACCAGATGGACGAGGAGGAAGTGGAGGGAGGGCAGTTAGTCATCTCAGGTTCCAAGGACCCGTTAGGGCGTTTTTTTTTTTTTTTTAGGAGCCCGTCCCAAGGTTGCAGAAAACAAAGGAACATCTTGCCTCAGTAAACCTGTTTTTCTTTTCCTGCAGTTACAGCTGCCTGCCCTGAGGGCAACAGGGGGAAGTGAATTCTTAGCCAAAGCCTTAATTCCCACACAAAGCTAGCCTCACTAGTTAGCCATAAAGGCCAGGCAGTGGTGGCACACACCTTCAGTCTCAGCACATGGGAGACAGAGGCAGATGGATCTCTGTTAGTTCAAGGCCACTGTGGGCTACATAAAAGTGATCCAGTCTAAAAGAGAAACAGAGTTCACACAAAGGTGATCCCAGCACTCAAACTGATACCCTTTAATCTCAGCATTAGGAAGGTGGAGACAGGAGTGATATGGCTGGGCAGAGAGGTATACAAGGAAGGAAGAGACAAGAGCTCATTGTATCAGTCTGAGGATTCATAGGGACAGGATTGCCCCTTTGGTCTGAGGATTCAGTAGTGGTAAGAACTGGTGGCTGGTTGCTCTGCTTCTTTGTTCTTTCAGCTTTTACCCTTATATCTGACTTGGGTTTTTTTTTTTTTTATTATTATTAAGACCAATGAGAATTCAAACTATACACTGCCACAGAATATGACAGCTTACTCTCCTCTAGACAAAACAGTTATGTCCTTTTAATATTTTATGGATCTCTTACTTCATATGAATATTATGCCTTTTCACAGTGTGTTTGTTCTCACTCAACATTGTACTCTTGAGATGATACAGGTTGTGGGTCTTATACAGTAGTCCACTGTGTGAGTACACTGTAATTTACTTATCCATGTGGTAACAGTGGGCATTCTTTGTTACTACAGCAGTGCTGATGTAAATAATCTTGAATCTCCTTATGCACATTTATAAGAATGCCTCCTTGGCAGAATTGTGAAACTTGACCATGCTTTGATTCTCTAGGAAGCCTGTTTAAACTAGCTTTGCTGGGCTTCTTCCCCGTTGCTTCTGATCCATCAGTGGGATGGGTACCAGGAAATTGTACTGATAACAGGTCCCTGAGCTAACGGTCTGCTGATTTTAGAACTAACTGGTTTAGAGTACAGATAGAGTATATAGTGTAGATAGTCTACAGAATATAGTGTAGCTCGAATGCCTTGCTGGACTGAAATAGATGCAACTATTCCCCTATACTTGGCAATGCAAGGTTATTTTTCCTTCAAGTGGTGCAGAACTCTAGCCTGGTATTTTTCTTTCTGGTGGGTTAAAGCTCAGGGTCTCTTTATTATGTGGCAGGAAATGGCATCTTTATGCCTTTTTTTTTTTTCATGTTAAAGTGTGCAGAATATATGGGACTTGCCCGCTTTAAAGAAGAAATGTTATCCAGGACACAGGACCCTTACACAGGCAGTATTCCCTAGAGACCTGAGGTTGCTGACCACTGCACTTGCGGAAGAAGAATCTTAGATAACTACAGTGATCTTTTAGTTACACTCTTTTAAAAAAATTATTACATTCTTCAAAAAAAAAAAAAAAAAGGTTCTAAAGAAAAAATCCCCTTCAGTGCAGAGACTTGTTTAGACAGAAGATGGTCTGTTCAATTGAGAAAATTCTCTTCGATTAGGGCTGAAGGCTATTTGAAAATGGACTATGTTGGACCTAAAGATATGGCTCAGTGGTTAAAAGCACTGGCTGTTCTTCCAGAAGACCTGGGTTCAATTTCCAGTACCTGCAAGGTAGCTCATAACTACTACTCCAGTCCCAGGAGATCTGATGCCTTCTTCAGTCCTGTTCAGACCACATGTGCCACACAGCTATATATGAAAGCAAACCACCTATACATATAAAAATAAATATGTTTTAAACAAATCCCTGTGTAAATTTCATACTAACCTCATGGGGTATACCTCAGGGAAACTCCTTCAAAGCCAACAGTTGGCTTTTGTCAAACAGGTTCATATTCTAGAGCAATAGCTTCTAGAAAGGCTGGACCCCCATCCAGATATGCTTCTTCAGAAGTTAACATGGAGTTCTTATCAAACCAGTTTTGTACACTGGTGGTCAGATTCCATCACTGCAGGCCGGGGACCCTCAGAGCCAGTGCATAGTGATGGGGTTTGTCCAGGTTTGGTGACTGTTGTCTGCAGGACTGGCTGCTAATTGCTGACTTGTCTTTTCAGCGTTCATGACACTGGTTATCATACTGCTGCATGTGTTCTGGGGCATTGTGTTTTTTGATGGCTGTGAGAAGAAAAAGTGGTATGTCCTCCTTACAGTTCTCCTAACTCACCTGCTGGTGTCCACCCAGGTGAGTGTTGCCGCTGTGTTCTCAGTGCTTGCAGAGCTCAAGTGCAGAGGTCTGAGTGGTGGGTTAACTCAAATCATGTCCCTTTGTTTTTGTTAATGTTTTGGCTGTTGTGAAGCTTTTTTGACTATGTGCATTGGATTTTTTTTCCCCTGTCTTAAGTTTTGAGGCAGGGGACTATGAAATTAATTGGTATGAATACTTTGAGTTCTTGATACAAATTGCTAAACCAGGCTCTGCTATGTGGTAACACTTTACACATTCTGCTGGTTTCACTCCTTAGTGACATTGTTACAGTGCCAGTCTACAAAGGAAATTTTAAAATATTTGTCAGATTTGTTTTTAGAGCAGTGTGTAAGAACTTGGATCTGAGTGGTAACTGGTCATTTAAATAGGTGACAGTTATCAAAATGACCCTGCCATGGCCATGTCTAGACCTTTTGCATATTTTATGTGCAATATTGAATAGGTTTTTTTCTGGCCAGGGATATGGATCAGCAGGTAAAATTCGGCAAACTTGGTAACCTGAGTTTGACCTACAGAGCCTATTGTGGAAGGACAGAACTAATTTCTAAATATTGCCCTGTGATCTCTGCCTCTGCACCTTGGCATGTGGTTTATACACATACACAAATGATAATAATAATGAATGATTTTTTGAAAGGTCTCTATTGAGTTGACCCTATAGACGGGCGTGCAGGTGAGCCAACCCTGAGGACATGAGAGACTCATAGCTGATACTGCCTCCCTTTTTTGTGGCTGTGTTGTGGTGGGAGCAAGAGAAAGGTGACCTCCTCCCACACCCACTTACAGCCTCCAGCTGACAAGAGAGCTGATCCTCTTCTTTATCAGCTGCAACATTAAGGAAAGCAGGCAGTGGAGATGACCCTATTTATGGGGGCATGGGTGAGCTGAGTGATCTAGCCCTGCTCCCTCATCTGCCATATGGTGATCTGGGTGGGGGAGAGTTGCCCTGGCTCTACCCCTTGCTCTTTGCAGTTAGGGGTGAACTAGTCAGGAAATGCTGGCGAGCTCACCCTGATAGTGAGGATATGGGTGGGAGATGGGGCACTGGTGGGGCTGGCCAGAGCACGTGAAAGGGCTGGCTTTGCAGACCCAAAGCTGCAGGATCTCCATGACATAGAGCAATAACAGGATAGCCAAGTAAGTCCCAGTGGGAGCCCACCATGGATAGTGGAGCAGAAACCAAAGGCCTTGAACCAGACCAATGCCTCCTTGCAATGAGCACTTGCAAGTGAAGATATATGGACAAAGAGTTTATTATGTGACTCATTGCATCACACTACAGCTTCCGTGATGAGATTTTTTTTTCTTTTCTTTTTCCTTTTTTCTCTTAAATTTTATTCTGTTTTGAGGGGTCATTATAAGAGCAGGGGGCAGCCAGATGCACAATGTGAAAGACACAGGAAATAAATAAAAAGAAAGTTAAGGAAAAAAAAGTCTGTACTGATTAACCTGCCTCCTACTTCTCTCTGCCTATTTGGAATTCCTTCTGTATTTTATCCACTGGGCTTCTTGCCCTCTAATCCAGCTAAAATGCAGTCTATTTGCCTCTTACATGGTTAAACCTTGCAGTATTTGTGGATACTAAGTTGCCTTTAACAGGGCATCTATGTAAAGCCAAACATTGTTTGTCTACCTAGCCAAGCATGGGCTGCAGAGTGAGATCATGTCTTAAATTATGAAATAGAGGACAAGGTGGAGGATGCTTTGACTACTGCACTAAGGGTAAACAGGCCGGGAGAGGTAACTTCATTAAGGGAAAGGCAAGGAGGACTTGGATGAAAGAGCAGTGAAGTAATAGAAATAGCCAGATTCAGGAAATACATATCAGAAGTAGAACCATCAATGTTTCCTACAGAGTGGATGAGGCAGATGAGAGGAAGAAGAGGGACCAAGGATTTGTTTAATGTTTTTGGCCTGCACGACTGAAAGGATAATGCTGCTATTGGCTGAGATTGAGGACTTGAGAGGAGTGGCTCTATAGGAGGCCAATTACTTTAAAGATAATTCAAAGAACTGTAGGTAAACAGAGAAGATGCTCAAATATGGAGTCCCATGATGCTCCATTACTGGAGCCAGCAAAGAAGCACAGGAGTAACTCAAAGTAGGAAATGAGGACACTCAGGAGAGCTGAGTGTTTTGGAAGCAAAGCACACTGACTGAGGAGAACATGGGATCTACCTGTCTGGTTTGTTGTTGTTGTTGTTGTTTTTAACATGCTTTCACTGTGTAGCCTTTTAAATGCTTGGATTAAAGGCAGCACCCAAACCACTTTACCCACTGAGTCATCTCTCTCTCTCTCTCTCCACACACACACACACACACACACACACACACACACACACACACACACACACACACACAGTGTTTTGCCTGCATGTATCCCTGCAGGCCAGAAGAGGGCACCAGATCTCATTACAGATGGGTGTGAGCCATCACAGAGTTGCTGGAAATTGAACTCAAGACCTCTGGAAAATCAGCTAGTGTTCTTAACCACTGAGCCATTTCTCTAGCCCCTGAGTCATCTCTTTAGCACTCTAGTTTTCAACTATTGTGAAGAGTATGGATATAAGTGTTTAAATATATGTCCTTCAGCAAACATGTGTGCATTATTTCTTTTGGATACATACCAAGAAGCACTCTGGTTAGGCTAGAGGAATATATAAGTCAGCTGGTGGTATCACTAAGTTTTTTGGCATGGTTGTGTTGACTTAAACACTAACCATTTATTTATGAGTTTCAGCTCCTCTATGGCTTTGCCAACACTTGTTATAACTTTTTTTTATTTGGTGGGAATATAGTAGAAACACTGTAAACTTCCAATTTTCATTTCCTTGATAATAAACACATCTTCATATGACTGTTGTCAGTTGGATAATTATTTTTGAAGCTCTTGTTTAAATATTTTGCCTACCTCCAACTGTCTTTATTTATTTATTTATTTTAGGAATTCTTTATATTTTCTACAAAAAAAAAAAATCTTCCGTCTGGTATATGTATTGCAAATAGCTTCTATAGCATGTTTTTTCTTTATTTTAAGATATATCATTCTATATAGCTCAAACTGGCTTAGAATTCAGTCTGTAGTTCTAGATAACCTCATTTGTGGCAGTCCTTCTGTCTCAGCTGCCTTAGGGCTTGTATTACAGACATGAGCTACCACATCTAGTTTTTACATTTTTTAGAAGGTCTTGTGTGTATAGTTCTGAGGATCCCACACACACACAAGCAAACCTCTCATGAGTCACATCCCCAGTCCTACTTTTACATTTTATATTGTCTAATTAATTGGGTTTTACTATTTCTTTTTATGTTCTGATGAATAAATAATATAACCAAATTTCAAGTTTTAAAAATTAATTTTCTCATTTGTGTGTTCTCATTTTCTATAACAAAGTTACATTTCTTTTGTGATTGCTTAAAAGTGAAAAATGGCTCTAAAGGAAATAAATTGAAGAAAATGCAAAAGACTTCACCATTCTATAATATAAATAAAAATTTAATGGGATTGACTATAGAATTATTCTAGAAAAGAATCCATAAACTTCTTAACACCTGCCATACCCACAGACACCTTTAGAATAAAGCATTCTGCCTATATGAGATTTTGCCTGCAAAATGAACCCATCTCCCTGAACAAAGCTGATAGGTCAGTGCCTTAGCTAGGGTTATGTACAGGTTGAGTGGAGATGAGAAGGGATACTTAGGGACTCTCCAAACGCTTATTTAAAAATCATCTGGTAAATAATTGTCACAGTCAAACCTTCTCCTTTGTTAGCATAAAGCTGGGGGTACATGGGAACGCAGGCTCTGACCTTATCTCTGGTCCAACAGAGGCAACATCTGCTCCCAGGTTAAGGCCATTCTACTTAGGCTGCCACCCTTATCCATCTTCCCTGCCCTGAGTACTTCCCTCTGTTATTTGTGCCACCATCTAGGACCAGTCTCTTCCTCTTTCTACACTCAGACACATCTTACACAAAACTTGTTGGTGTGACTTTCACCCTTCCAACAATTTTTTCCTCTTTGATCACAACACTACACATCTCCAAATATAATCTCCACAAATTCCGTCTCTATTTCTTAAAACTTTTATTTATATGTATGTATTTATTAGTGTGTGTGTACGGTGTGAAGTCAGAGACCAACTTGTTCTGTCTTTCCACCATGTGGGTCCAGAGAATCAAATTCATATCATCTGGTGTGACAAACAACCTCTACCCACTGAGGCATTTCACTGATCCTGTCTCTTCTACTTTATCCCTCAGACTTCTTCTAGCCTAATGTAGCTCCTGCTCAAACCACCCTCCCAAACGTTACCTTTCCAAATCTAATGGACATTGTTCTTCATTTATCTTGCCAGCCATTAAGATTTATTTTACTTTAATTTACGTGTTTATATGTGAGTCAGTGTGTTGCAGGATATTTGATCACACTGTGAACCCTAGAGTTTGCATTTGTGTTAATTCAATAAAATCAACTGTGTGTCAGGAGATCAAGTTAGTAACTAGTTGACAGAAATTAATCATAGAGAGTCAGAGGATGTCTATAAGATGATAGAGTGATGCACAGGAAGTAGTAGGGACAGATTTTGTGTGGTGTGGGTTCTTTTGTTGTGGTGGAGCAGAAGGATGCTCTCTTTCAGAGACAACGGCAAAGACAGAAGGTCAGCTAGTTGCTACTCAACCTCTCTGAGCCAGCAAGTTTTCACACCCACTCCACCCCACCTCCTAAAACAAAAACAAAAAAAACAAAACAAAAAAACCCTGCTAGGTTGGTCAGAGAAGCCAAGAAGCAACCATCTGACCTTGCTTTTTGGCCAGAGACCCATCAAGAGATATGCCTCTCTTCACTTGTCCCCAAACCAAAAGGAAGCACCAAATTCAAGTCCCTGCACTTTCCTTATTGTATGTTCCTGTGTGTCTTCTCTATCAAAATTGCTGGCTTCTCTATGGCAATTCTAAGAAGTTAGTCACTAGCTTTGCCACCTGATTCAAAGTAAACTTTATGTAACAGTCTCAGAGTACCACAGTACAATCAAAATCCCCACAACATCAGTATATACATACATACATACATACATGTCTGGGTATGCACAGAGGCCAGAAAATGTCATTGCCCTAGAGCTGAGGAATAAGAGGGCACCAGATCTTCTACAGCCAGAGTTATAGTCAGTTGTAAGCCACCCTTAATGGATGTTGGGAATCAAACTCCAGTCCTCTAAAAGAGCAACAAGCAAGCCATCTCTTCAGCTTAGTAGCTTTTAGAAAGAGTTTCGTTTTCTTTCTTTTTCTTCCGCTACAACACACTGTCCTGATTTTTCAGGACTCCTTTATTGGATCATAGTATTATAAATGTTGGAGTACCACAGGACTCGGTTTTTGCATTACCTGTGCCTGTCTATGCAGTTGCTCCTTGAATAACTACAATAATGGAATAGCATTGTATAGGCTGTGCTTGTATATTTCCAGCCTCTGTCTCTCCTATGAGTATCACACTCAGACATCAAAGTAATTGTTTGAACTCTATCTTTGAAAATCTTATGACCTGTTACCCTTAACCATACATCTTTCAAACTGATTTGCACCATTGATAGCTTGTTCCTGCTACCCATTCCCAGTCTGTACCAAGTTCAGTACTATTCAAACATTCATTTACCTTCAGGCTAGAAATGTTAGAGTCAGTCTTGGCATCTGCCTCACATTCAATCCACCACCAAGCCCTGTGAGCTCTTCCTGTGCACTCTCCAGCTCCACCACTAGCTCCCTAAGGTGCCATCCTGTGCTCTCCTTGCCCACTGCAATCTTCTCCTACCTCATGTCCTTGCTTCACCACAATTTCCTTTAATCCATTTTATTCAGCTTTGAAAAATCAAAATTAATCATTATCTCAACCTAAACCTTGTCTATGACCCTGCATTTCACAGAGAATAACAGTCACATTACTGATTCACAGACTTCGCACTTGTCTGACCACACCTGATCCTCCGTTCCTAAACTGTATTCATACTGGCTGGCTCTAGTTTTCATCTGTATCCAGCTATCTGTCCTCACCTGTGCTCCTCCCATAGCTAGTCTGCACAGGGTTAGTTAATTCCTCTTGCTATCTGTGTCAGGTTAAATGCCATATTATCAGGATCTCCATCACCCTTAAGTAGATCACCTTGTTCTCTCTCCTGGCATTCATCACAACTGTAACTATTCTATCTTACTATCCATCATATTTTGCCATTAATTATTTATTTAATTACTTCTTCATACTTAGTAGCATTTAAGTTTCTTGATGGTGGAGACTTGCCTTCAGTAATTCCACTCACTGCACCTTGTAGCAGCACTCTGTCAGTCATGCTTTGGTGCTGGGGATTGAACCCAGGGCTTCATGCATAATGAGCATGCACTCCTCCTCTGAGCTGTGTTCCTGTTAGAGTTTTATAAGGATTAAACTTTGGAATCCATAGCAATTGTACAGCCAAAAACATAATTCTATTTCTTCATGTTCCTCTGAATACTAATGGTTCATATTAAAGTAGTCTAGATGTGCCTGCCTTGGTTGCAAATTCTTAGAGCCTATTATATTAACCCAGAAATGGCTATAAACCAGGGCCAGGTACTTTCTGTTAAGTATCCCATTAGCTTCTGACTAACAGCTTTCTTCTGGGGTTGCCATCTGAGCCAAGCAAAATGCAAGTTCACAGACCAGTGTCTGCTGTGCCTTCTGCTGTGTCTTCAACACATGACAGTCATCTCGTGTTTGTTTGTGAGATGCAGTCCAGCTGTTGAAAGCTGTGTGTTTCCCTCTATCTCTGTTTATTCCACAGGTTTCAAAAGCTGACTTATTTTTCCTTTTCAGACCTTCATAAATCCTTATTATGGACTAAATCTGGTATCAGCATATATAATCATGGTGCTCATGGGCATCTGGGCGTTTTTTGTTGCTGGAGGTAGCTGCCGAAGCCTGAAACTCTGCCTGCTCTGCCAAGACAAGGACTTTCTTCTTTACAACCAGCGCTCCAGATAACCTCTGACAGTCGGCACCTCCAGACAGCAGCCGGTGCCTTTAGAGGAAGCACAACCGTGTTCTTCTCTAAAAAGACCCTTTGCTCCTGTAACTTGGAAGCAGCGGAATTATCTAGCCTAGAACTGTCCCTGTGCTTTCATGCAGTGGCCTCTGGAAGAGCTGCAGCATGGCCTGCAACCTGGTTGCACATTTCAGCCACTTGGGGAAATGAAGACTCATGCTTCTGGACTTCCCTCCAGATTTGATTATCCTGGATGTGCAGTGCAGCTGAGAATCACTGGGGTCCACTGGGAAGTTCTGAGAACACCAAAGGAGAATGAGGGCTGGTACTTAACTGTCTCCTAAGCCAACTTCTGCTGAGCAAGTAAATCTTTGAATTAGTAACCTGGGTAGGCCTTGTCTTTTTATGTACTGATGTCACACAAGGCTGAAGGGCTGTTCTCTCTGTGAATGGCTTTCATGTCCTTCACTAGCACCGCAGGCCGTGCCTCGAAATGCAGTACCCTATACTGACATTATAACTTAGCTAAGGTAATTTTCCTCAAGGTTTATTTTTCCATTGAAAGTTTCTCTTCCTGAGGCATTAAATTACTCCTTTAAGTATAAATCTGGACTCTTACATGCTGGCTTCCTTGGGAGAGTCCAAAACTGTGCCAAGTCTGTGAGCATTCTCAGTTAAAGGCTGCAGTGTGTTCTGTCTGAAGCTGGGCTGGTTGAGGAAAAGCTCACCATTTTTATCTCTGAGAAGCCAGGCAGGGAGATGAATGATGTTGCCTTGGCAGAGTTTCTCCGGACCTTGTGAGAGCAGCTAAAAGCACAGGGTAGCAATGTTGACACCTTCCATTTGCTCCCATGACACTAAACTGCACTATCACCCAAATGCTAGACGGTGAAATTGGAGATGGACATTAAACTGCCAGACATCAGTCAAGCTGGCATGTAACTTTTCATCTTCAGCAGGTGTGTCTAGCTTTCTGTTGCAGTGATACAGAAATCCCTTCGTGAGAATCGCCAGGGGCTTTGCTAGTCTTCTAAATAAGTCATCTGATTTCCTTTTTAAGATGAAATGCTTCTGAGTTTGAGTGTGCTAACTGAAAACTGTTCCCAATGAAAGTCTTTTAGGAGCTTAGATTGTAAAGTAGAAATTACTGCATGAAAGTGGTGTCCCCAGCACATCCAAGCACCTTCTAAAAGAAACAGTAGCAGCAGTGAGAGGGTTTGGCAGTGACATGGAAGGAGGACATGACAGTCCTGTGATGACAAGAAGAACATGTGGGGTTCCCCCCCGCCATGAACTAACCATTAATTGGTGAACCATGCTTACTTGAGCTTCTCAGTGTAGAGAGGCAAGAGTAGTAAAGCTTCTAGGAAGATTACAAATCACCAGAGAAACCACTGTAGTTATCCCCTTCAAGGTTACTTCAGCACTAATATGTGTCAGCCATTCTGCTGTAGTTTGTGGGTTTTGTAGGTCTATGTAAGATTTCCCCTGGACTAGAAAAGACAAAGATAAAAAAACCAAACAGTGAACATCACTGTGCTGAACAAGGAGCAAGAAGATGCCCATAGAGTTGGCATGTGTCCCTGTCTGAGCATGGTATTTTCTTTTATTAAACTAAGTAAGAAGCACAGATAGTTGTTTATTGCTGCTGCTGCCTTACAAACCTTGCATGTAGCTATTCTGATAAAATGTTCATCTGAGGTATGGAGAACCTGCGGATTGTACTGCTATTCATACTTGAGCTCTAAGCAAGTTCTCTAAGTACTAACAGCATGATATTTGAAATGGGACGATTACACAATCTCATTTAATAAGAACCAAGGTCAGTTAGTTTCCATCATCTACTTCAGACAGCTCACTACCACTTGTAACTCCAGGTGCAGCAGATTCAAAGCACCCGGCCTTCAGCCTTAACTGCTATCATGTACTCCCACAAACAGAAACATGCATGTTAAACAACAACAACAAAACCAACACACATGAAAAGGACATATTGCCCAGCAAATCTGTTGTCTTTTTGAGGAAATATCAAGTAGTCTTTGGTTGCCTGTGATGTTCTTACACTGTGGGTGTTGCCTGTAGCTCAGGCACAGCTGTGTCAAATAGCCAGCTTTGCTCCTTGCCAAGGCAGCCCTGAGGGAGTTGGAGTCTTATACACACACATTGAAATTCTGCTCTTATTAATAATTGAAGAAGAGTAGGACATGATGTTATACAGTACTGCACATGGATTTTCTGTGCAGAGAGGAAAGTACACATAAGATTGACCTTGGAATTGTGAATATTGTTTTCATTCTCTAGTAACAGAGAGTCAGTTGTCATGTGAATAATAGGAATGGATTCAGTGCTCTCTAATGTAAGCCACATTTATGTTCAGTTTGTTTGAATCAATGCTCATAACTGGAGGTGTGTGTCACCTGGTCTGTTCTTCTGGCCTGCATGCCTAGCAGTATAGTATCAGTGACTTCTTCAGAGCGTCTTGAGGATGTGCTAAAGGAAGTGAGGATTATATCTGCAGACTACACAGAAAATGGTTCCTGTTCCCAGTAAACATAAGTAGTGTGACAGAAGGTTTCCTATACCTAGGTTTTGTTACATTGACTTCAGCACTGTACCAAAGCAGGTGTTAACAACAGATGTGGGCAACCGAGTGACACTGTAGCTTTGCTGGGGATATAAGCATGCACAACCTGCCAAGCTAAAACATCCTATTGATGATTACCTTTTTATCTTTTTAGTTTAATAGTAGGCTTTACATTTGTCTTTTTTGTTGTTTAGAGGAAATGGATACTGTCTGTATCACACATTGTGTTTTTATATGCTGAATCTCTATGTCCTTCATTCTGTAGCAGGAGGACACTCCCCCCTCCAACAAGGTCTGTAATTTTCAATGGACAGTAAAAAGAATGTTGGCACTTCATTCTCTACATCTCCCTTATTTAGAATAGAACATCCTTCAGAATCTGTTACTATAGTCATCACCTCATTTGAATCCAGCTGTACATTCTATTGTCTATTATTGATTAGTTATAAGACTTTTCAAGGTGAAGTCAATTAGGTAATTTAAAGTTCACAAAGGGTATCTCATATCTGTGTGTTCAGAGATGATTTATTGCAAAGACATTCCTTGACACTTCTTAAACCAAGCAGACAAAAATCCTCAAAGATCTTGGCACCTTACTTTGGAAAATCTCCTAAGCAATTGTGAAAGAATGAACTTACAAACCATCACACGACAGTAGTTGAAGACCAGAGGCAGGTGAAAAGGAGCATGATTTAGCTTCTATTTGGTAGCTTTGTGTAGTTTTATCTTTTCACTTTGCCTCCTCTTGGTGTAATGAGGCAGCTGAGTGTCTTGGTGTGACCTTTACTTCAGACAGGAGGTTGGGGGAACTGAACTGTGAGGACCTATCACTGGAATCCACATAGTAGCCGTTGGCTCTGTTTGAAATGAGGCTGCTCTAGGTTTATACTGATCATGTTACTGGATGGCCCAGCCTCAGGGCCAATGGCTCTGAGCCACTAACTTGTAATACTGGTGGAAAGGTGCACATTCCTCAGTTGTTAGCCCAGAGTCACTGTCCCTTTCTCAAAGCTGTGAGCCTTGTTAGATGTCATCTGTGTTAGAAAGATTTCCAAGTAACCAGTCTTGACATGTGAGAAACACCTAGTAGAAAAATATAAATATGTTGTTTTCATCTTATTAAAAATTAGAACAGAAGAAACACTCTGCTAGCCTATGGTACACTTTTGAGTAGAACACTTGTATTCCATTGAACACACTCTAAGATGACCATTCTAACTTGTGGGTCCCAAGACTTTTTGAGGCTCAGTGACTTGTATGTGATACTTGTTATTTAAGTGTAAGTCTTGCAAAACTGTACTTTTTATATACTTGTGTAAAATCAGAAATGGTGTTTTATAGTGCTTTCTTCAGGTGTGCCATTCACACAAGTCTATTTAGAGAGGTTTAGAGGATGGAAGAAACAAGATACTATAGAGATTTTTGTCATTGAAGAACTTCTAGCTAACCATGTAGATTAAAACATCTAAGTTTTAGCCAGTCATGAAGCTCATACCTGTAATTCCAATGCCTGGGAGAGTGAGTTAGGAAGAACACTGTCATCTCAAGGCCAAACTTAGCTACAGTGTGTCCCTGTCTCAAAAATCTATAACTATTTTGCTAAGAAAATCAGAACATATGCTAAAAATTATGAGTAATACAAAAAGTTTGGATATATACCATTTCAGATTTTAGGAAGATGAAGGGTAGAACTGAAGTAGTACACACACACACACACACACACACACACACACACACACGCACCAGGCCATAATTGAAAACCCTGGGGCTGGAACCCAAGCAGGAATTGGAAAATGAGGAGGGAAGTTAGGAAGGAAGAAAGGGAGGGAGGGAGAAAAGGAGGAGAGGAGAGAGGGAGGGAGAGAGGGAGGAAGGAAGGGAGGGAGGGAGGGAGGGGAAGAGGGAGGAAGGAAAACCATTGGAGGATATAATGTTGGTAGCAAGAGCAAAAGCTCTCAATGCTGCTGACTGGCAAGCAAGAAGAGCAGGAGCAGATAGTGATGTGCAGAGAGATGAAACTTGCTGGTGACCTTTATGAAAGCAATGGCACTGTGGAGATAAGGTTGATCACTTAAATGGAGTGGGTTCTAGAGAATGGGAGAACATTCCAGCCTCTTTGGTACAGTATTGTAAAAGGGGTGGAATAGCTGAGGAGGCTGTTCTTTTGTGTTATGATGAGAGCTGTAACTATGTGGGGGATGTATTATGATGGGAATGATTCAGTAGAAAGCAGTGGATAGAGAGGGCTATATTTATCTTCAAAAATTCATTAAATAAATATGGTTGTTCAAATTAGAAAATAGGAAAAGAAGGAAAAGCTAAAGGAACAAAAAAGATCAAAGAATAGCACTAAAACAATGGAGAAAAAGAAATGTATATCTGGTTCTTTGGGACAAAATCAATAACATTAGTAAAAACCAGTTAGATTGATAAGAATGAAAGAGAAGTCACTAATGTCATAAATGAAGC